CTCAACTCAAAACAAAGTGAGTTGAGAAATCAATACCTTTGTAGATTCCTCTTTGCATAAGCAAAGGCTAATCACCCAAAGAGAGGGCCTTCATTCCTTGCATCTTAGATCCATGGATTTGGATGGATGAAAAAGTTTCTCCAAGTTCCCAAAATTGAGAACCTCTAATGATTCATCACCAAGGCATAATGAAGAAGAAATGAGTGACCTTGGAGGAGTTTGATTGCTAGATGATCCCTCCAAGGTGGCCTAAATTTTAGAGAGAAAGGAGAGCTTGTGTTCTCATCCTTTCCCCAAAAATTACCATATGTAAATTTTAGGCTATAAAGTCCTTTATATAGTCCCTTCAAATAAGTGACCTAATGGACCAAAAGCCCTATTCTTCTAACATGGCAAGCCTATAGGGTTTATTGGGCTTTCAAGCCCTTTGTTTATTCAAGTTGTCATACAACTTGAGTTAATGGGCTTGACATTCAAATCCCATTGGGCCTTGCGACCCAAAACTAACCCGAGGTCTTTAACGAACTTATTCGTTTGATTAATTAACATATTAATTAATCCTAGCCTTAGATAAATAATTAAACCATTTAATTATTCTTACTCATCTCCGTTGTTTCTTCAAACTCTACCTTACTCGTTGAACGATCCATTAGGTTCCTTTTAGCGAGGCAGTGGGCGATTAAAACTCTTTCTAATCGATTGTGAATTGAAACTTACTTTCAATTCTCCCGTTAGTGATAATACACTTTTAGGGCTTCCACAAACCATGGTTGATGCCTAGCAGCATGTCATGGTTACCTAAGCTAATCAGAAGAGGTGGAGAACCTATTCAGTTTTAGGATTACAAATGCAATACGGTCTTTCTCTAATACAATACTCTTGACCACATTGTTTGGTTTGATAGTTTATTCATGTCTACTATCCAATGTGAGTCTTGTGATTATATGATTACATTGAATGTGATTTGGAACACATTCCTAAATCTCATTCATACTTTGGCCAAAGATTCAAAATCATATCATAGAGTATTCTCCCTCAAACAGTTTGAAGGTTAGAGATCCCTTGTTGCGCATTCACTTGCCTCCATGGCTAAGTGGCTTAACCCCAACGATGCCATGGACACCCTCATGATGGAGTGACTTTGACATAATCAAAGATTAAGGACCTAACCACAAGACAACTGTGATGCCTCAGGTCAAAAGACTAATTTGCATTATCCCAACCATGAGTTCTCATGTGACATGAATATGAGAACTCTTCGTTGATCGTGTTCAGTGAACTCATTCTCTATTGAGCACCTACGTACTTGTCTTGATGTCACACACACCAATGACTCGAGACTAGTCACTCTCCCTGAGAGAAGACATAGCACGTACTGATCTTAACGGACTGTCAATGCCCAATTGGCAATCCTATGATCAGGAACGTTTAGGATGTGTCTATGAAAGAATGGTCTCATGAATCTAACTTCTTTAGATCGCATTCTCCCAATCACATATTCCTTGGACTTATCGTTTAAGCATATAACATTTATATGAAACGGCTCAAACAATAATGTTTGCCCTTAATATTAAACTAGATTAGTTTAACATGTGAAATGTCCATAAAGTATCATCATATGATTGGTTTTAGGGCACATTTCCAACACTTCCTTCCCCCAATAACCCAGAAACCATCCTCGTTTGTCGAAGTTCGATGTTGAACAAGAACAATAGGAGGAGACAATGCGATTGAGGGACTCGTAGAAGCACTCGTTGTCTTAGTCTTCTTCCTCTCCGGCTCTGCTCATTGTTTACGGGTGTGGAAGTGTGCGAGTTTCGGGTTGTGAATTAGATCCGATTATGGAATGAGAGAATGAGAGAATGAGAGAGTGTGGGGGAACGAAGCCCCATTGGGTTGAGGTGAAAGATAAGAGGTCGGGGGGGGGGGGGGGGGAGGTTGTGGGGGAGGTGGGGGTGGGGCGAGATGGGGTGGGGTGGGGTGGAGGAGAGGGAGTGGGTCGGGAGGGGGGGAGGGGGGGAATGGTTTCTGGGTTTGATTGGGGGTTTTTTTATTTTTTTAATTTATTTTATAAATAGGCTAAATATTTTAATATTTTAAATGCATAAAAAAATATTTTTGCAACGTGGCATAAATTTGGTAGCCACATCAGCATAAATATGGATCCCATATTTGCCGTCACATTATCACTTAACGATTTATTTAACAGATTTTCTAACGGATGTATGAAATTGAAATAAAATGATAAGTAAATGTATGAAATTGAAATGTTTTAAAGATGTTGTAAGGAATTGAAATCGACTCCAAACCTGAGGAGGTAAAATGTAATTTACCCAATAATTTATTTCAACTAAGGGTATTTTAGTAATTATATTAATTACCACTATGATTTAAGTGAATTAGTAAATAGTTTATATGGAATCCATTCCGATTCCGAAAGGTTTTAATAAACAACTCTAACACGAATCCGATTCTGACTCTTCTCCATTCAAGTACTCCTCAACAATTCAATCCCCCTCAAATCAATTCCTCCCACTTTGATCATTGATTAGTAAATGAGCCAACTTCTGATGAGATGCAACAGAAATGAAATTCTGCAAGGGCCTGAGGAAGATCATTAAACTGTAAGTATGTAACGATAATGGCTAAAAAACATTAGGTTTATTAATTAATTTTCCCCTGAAATTATTATTTAGTCTCATTTTAGCCATAACTGTAAGATCCCACATCGCCTAGGGGAGTGATCCTTATATGTATATTCCCATCCCTACCTAGCACGAGGCCTTTTGGGATCTCACTGGCTTCGGGTTCTGTAGGAACTTCGAAGTTAAGCGAGAAGGGGGCTAGAGCAATCCCATGATGGGTGACCCACTGGGAAGTTGCTCGTGAGTTCCCAAAAACAAAACCCTGAGGGAATGGTAAGCCCAAAGCGGACAATATCGTGCTACGATGGTAGAGCGGGCCCTGGATGTGATCCGCCCCGGGTCGGGATGTGACAATAACCCTGGTTTTAACTCACTTTGCCCCCTAAACTGACATTTTCACCTCATTTAGTCATAGTCACCCTTTTCGTTCATTTCGTCATATAGACACTAAAGTAAAGGGTAATATGGACGTTTCATTTTTACCACAACTCTTTGCCTCCAATCTTGCCAGCTAAAACGATCCTAATTCTATTTTTGACAACTCAAACTAAAATTTTGACTTTAAGTTACAATAAACTTTTTACAAGAAGAGTAATTGTTGATTGAACTCAAGGACTAGATTCGCAAGCCTAAATTCATTTCTCCTCTTTCACTTAACCCTAATTTGTTTCCCCAATGTTTTTCGCTACAATTCACGCGCAGCCTAGTAAATATAGGGTGATCACCCAAAATTTCCATGTAAGTACCGCATTGCTAGGCATGGGGTTTATCTTCGCCCATGTAAGAAACGAAATGTCCATATTACCTTTTAATTTAACGTCTATTAGAAGGAGTGGAGGAAAATGGGTGAATTGGGACTAAATGAGATGAAAATGGCAATTTTAGCAGGTAAATATATCAGTGTTCTAAAAATCGGCCTAGGCACTGGGCGTCGTTGTGCTGATGCGATTCGGTCCAAATCGTTAGGCAAAATCGAGGACCTGTAAGTCACTCGCCTAGGTGCTCCTAGACGGCCTAAGCGGTCTAGGCGGCGGTTTAGGCGGAGGAGTGAAAGGATTTTGGGAAGAAAGTTGAAATAAAACCTAGAATTGAAAACACTATCGCCGCTTCAACTCCCTCTCTTTGCACCATGACCTCCTTTCTCTCGCCGTCGTGACTCCCTTTCTCTCTACACTCCATCGAAGAAAGGGAATTACAAAGCAAAAGAGAAGAAGAGGAAATGGAAAAGAAAAAGAAGATGAGTAATCGGAGGAGAAGAAGAATAGAAAAAGGAAAAAAAATCCAAAGTCATAATGCTTTCCGCTTTCCAAGGAAGAAGAGGAAGGGAAAAACCAAAAAAATAATGTTGTGTGCTCTCCAAGGTGTAAAATGGCACACCGTTTTGAGAATCCTGCCTGACGTGAGAAGGTGGGGTGAAAGGGAGGGGTCACACCTGACACGTGTCAATTTTTATAAAGTAGGGACACACCTTATCAAGCTGATTTTTGTTTTTTTTGTTTGTTTGTTTTTTTTTTTTTTTGTTTTTTTTTTTTTTTTTTCACAAAACAAGCCTTTGATTTTAAAATTTTAAACAACCACAACCCACTACGTGGGGTTTTTATTTTTTATTTTTTTAAATTAAATACTAATCATTTAAAATGTCTTGACTTATTATTTTATGCCTATGAATTAAATTAATTTAAATTACTAATCATTCAAAACGTATAAAGTTATTATTTTATTGTTATGATTTAAGTTAATTTATATAATATATAATAAATATACTTAAAACCACTTAGTCCACCTAGGCGCCCGTCCAGCCGCCTAGGCGCTAGGCCTCAATCCGCCGCCCGACTAACGCCTAGCGTTTTTTAGAACCTTGAAAAATATATTAATAAGCCTAAAAGAATGACCAAAATCATCGTGCAAATATAATGTTTGTAATTTCCAACTCTCACAAGTGAGATAGAATTTTCTACACGAGGATGTGTTACAGAGAGATTTTATTTCTATTAAACTACATGAAGAAGAGAAAGAGAGTTTGAACTTGAAATGTATTGATTTGAAGTAAATTAGATATTATTTTACAATGTCAATGTGAAGGGGATATAAAAAAGAAGCAACAGAAAAAGAAAAAAAAAAGTTGTGTGGTAGCTTCCAGTATCTCTGTTCACCAAGTAGGTCATTCCCAAAATTCTTGTGAGCTTTTCGGAGCAGCTTCCAATATCTCAATGCACCAAGTGGTCCTTCTCATAATATTCTTGTGAGCTTAATACATAAGCTTTTCCGATAATCTCTCATCTCATGCACACAACTCGATCAACTCCCATGTCTCAAGAAAAAAGCAGCTTCCCTAAAAATAAAATTAATATTCCCTCTTCATCATTCCACACACACACACACACACACATATAGGTCATCGAAAAGAAAATAGATCATGTAAAAGAAAGTTCAAACTTTAAATTGATATGCCTGTAAACCAACCAATCAAAACACCCCAATTAAATTAATAAAAATTGAAAAGAGGATGTTTAGTCATCGTCAAGTTTCAAAGCCATTTTCTGGAGCCTTCCTTCTTAGTTCTTAAGCAGTACCTTTCACTCTTATTACAACAAATATATTCTCGATCCTTCTTTTCATCATGCAAATATTATATATATGAGTGCCAGAACCATATATAAATCCCATATCTATATAAACTTGTGAAATATATGCAGTTGTGTTTCTCTCTGGTGTTTCACTGATCGATCATTGTCTTGTGTTGGAGATGAATGAGCCTAAGTATGGTTACCCGTATCAACCTCCTCAAGGTACGTATGAACGTATTCTACTTGTTATTTTATTCTTATCTGATTACCAAACAATATATCATATGTGCAGTGCAGGGCTTCTTTTAATCTTTTGCTTAATTCATAATTCTGATCTATTCTTTAATCTATATGGATAATGATTACTGGTTTTGTCGTTCGTTGATCGATCCTTCTTTGCTGGTCATGATCATATTATTTGCTCTGTGTTTGTTTACAATCTAAAGCATATATTTAGGTTTCGATCTGATCTGTATTTTATATCAAATAATTTGCTGCATCCCCATGGATTAACCATCTCTAAATTATTTTCATCTTTTTGATATTGTGCTAGGAATGCTTGGACTTCTTCTAATTATATATGATTTGATGATAAAATAATTAATTAGGAGATCGAGATCATGATGTAGTTTATTGGGAATTGATAGCATTTAGGAGCTAGATTATTGATTAACATAGTTTTTACTTGTAAATCGATGTCAGGGCCTTATCAAGGACCTCCTGTGATGGCTCCTCCACAATATAATGCTGCTCCACCACCAAAAAGAGAACCAGGTTTCCTTGAAGGATGGTATTAACTTTATTCTTGATTTATTCCATATTTTTTCTGCCACGCTAACTTTTATTTCTTTCCTTTTCTCCTTGTTACTTTTAGCAAAATTTATTTTAATTCAACAACGTCCTTTATGGACTCGTTTGAAAATATTTATAAAATAGTTTAAAGCATATTTTTAGAGTTAATTCTTAATAAAAATGCAAGTGCTTTTGAAATTAAAATATTTTTTTTTTTTAAAGCACTTTCAGCTATTCCAAAAGCACTCTGAACAAGTCATATGTTTATATAAATGTATGTATTATGTAATCACATGAGGATGCATGTATGAATAAGGGATGTGGTAGTTTCTCTCTAATATACTTCTTATGCAGTTAATAATTAATTTGTTCTTGCACTAATTATGCAGCCTTGCAGCGTTGTGTTGCTGTTGTCTCTTGGATGAGTGTTGCTGCGACCCCTCCATTATATTTGTTACCTGATAATGTTATCATCTTTTGGAACAAATTGAAAGGACAGTTTGTGTTTCATGTATTTAAATACACACAAATTTGTACTGACCATCAAAACATATACCTGTATCTTTATAAATATATGTTTCAGTACCACTACATATATTTATGTTTGTATGAATAGAGTAAGTTGAGGTTTTATCATAACATCAATTGGTGATAAAAGGAGTACCTCTTCTCCTTATAAGCATCAGGAGCCTTCCCAAACAGGAAAGCCCCTATCAGAACTGAGGGTCACTCTGGACCCTGTAACCCACAAACTTGACCCGATCGATTCTCCCTCATCCGTCCTCTATTTGGGGTGATCTTGGTTTCTATGGCAAGCCTCGACGAGTGCATCATTCTAGTAGTGTCAATTTCGTTGAGGAGCCACCGGATTTTAAGAAAATACGTTGAGAAGGCAACAACACATTTTGACTTTCTTCGTCGTTTTTTCTAGTGTTTCCGGCAACTATTTCCATCGAGTGAGGTATGAAACTTTATCTACTCTTCATTATATACATGTTGGTATTCTTTGGGTTGGTCTTGTGTCCATAGTATTGGGTTCTAAACCCTTGAAATTCCAGTTTTGGCAACTGCGCTTGGTCAGTTTCCGGCCACAATTAGTTGTGGGCCCAATTATGAAATTTGATTCCCTTGTCGAGCTTTAGCTACCCCATAAGTTGTACCATTTTCGTTAAGGTCGAAAAATTAAGTTTACAAAACCTTCCACCATGGTTACCAACATATATGGCAGTGCATGGGGACCGTTCACGAGTGTTATCTAAATGCTAAAGACCTTCTAGTGACCTGTGAACTTGTGTTTAGCTTGATTTTCCAAGACAAACTTTTGGTGAGTTCACAAGATAACTAACAATCAAGAAATCAATATTCATACAATCATCATCATCATAAGTCATAAGACTTTGTAGTAAATCTAAAAGGTTGTTTAACTCATAAAATGTAACTAAAATTCATATTTATGTAGGTATGTTTAATATTTGCTAAAGAAAACATTTCTGAAAATATTCATACATGTAAAGTCCGTACCTAGACCGAAACACACCTCCAGCTAGCTTTCCCTTAAGGAGTTTTGTCTTTGTCAATCTAGTAAAGTTCGTACCTAGACCGAAACACAATAATGTCATGTCCCGAACTCCATACACTACACAACATTTAATTTTATTTAACATTATGGCTGCATCTACTTTTGAGTTAGACTGCTTACATACTATGTGAATGGATCAAGCTAATCGTAGTTCACTATCATAACAGAAATTCAATGTATGCTACATTTTTGAATATCCATACTTAGTAGAAATGAAGGTTTCACCGAAATAAGAAATACAGTGACGATGGGCAAAATCTGACTGCTAGGCTCTATTGGGTTTCTAGTGATGCTAATATTGATATTCGAGAATGATTCGCAGCATGTTGACCAAAAGTCAACAATCAGTCAAAGCAGTCAACGCTACGATCAACAACTATATGTATTCTAATCGAGAAGATCTGCACGTCGTTTTTTTATCTGTAAATTCTCAAAGGCATTGTGTTACATACACAACCACATACTATAATTCCATAACGATCTAATGGTCAGATCTTCGCCTATCCCACAATCGAGTGGCGGTCCAAAACGCATACACTTACATATATTTAGTGTAACGACTCGTCCTGAATTTTACAAATCGAAATGGCAATTTTATAATTTCACTTTGGTTAGGAGATATTTTGAAATGGTTGCTTTTTAGATCTTGTTTGGTGTGCCATGTGAGGCACACTTTCCTTTTTGGTCCCCCGGCCCCACTTTCTCTCATTCTCTCCATTCTCACCTTCCCCTGTACAACTCTCAAACCTCTCCCTCTCACTTTTCTCTCTCATTTCCTTCACCCCAAGCTCTCTCATCTACAAACTTTCCCTCTCCTCTCTGAGCCTCACTCACATGACAACAAACCTAATCAATGGATGAGGAAACCTCAAAAACCCCAAAATAGTCATTGTGGAACCCCTCCAGTGACGGAGTCACTGTTCATTATCTTCCCCTGACGAACTCCGACGTGTTTTGTGGTTTTTCCGACATGGTAAGCTTCTAGAACCTTCGCAATGTGTTTTAAGGTTAGCTCGAAGCTTGTATTAATGTTGTACATACTTGTTAAATGCAGAAATAACTTGAAGTGAGCTTTTCCTAGATTCCGGCAAGATCCTAAAACTTCCATGCCATTTTCCAGCCAACTTTGGCCACCATACGGCTCCAAATTGGTACGAATCTTTTCTTTTCATCCTAAGCTTCTTTTTGGCTTTTGAATCATTGCAAATGGTGTAGACATGTGCTCGAATGGAACTCAGAAGTGTTGCCCAGTTTCCGGCCGAACCCACGGCCTGAAATCGGGTTAACTGACCCGTTACCCTTAAACCCAGATCCAAACCCAAGTTACTACACGGCCACCCTAGGCCTTCAGCCTACTAAACCAAGCCCAAACCCAAACCTTTAAACTAAGCCTATACACAAAACCCAGATTCGACCCGACCCGACCAGTTCCTAGGTTCCAGGTCAGTGCGTCGCGCGTGGGTACCTATCATGGCACGCGAATGGAGCATACGCGCTTCCGTTGGAAGGTACTATGCTTCACCATCGTGGACGGCGGCGCCGGCGACTTTCTGGCTACCTTTCTGGCGACTTAACTTAGAGCGTGGTGTCGTGTGTGTGGGGGTACCCGAGGTCCCTCTTAAGGTTTTTCGATGTCCTGAATCCATTTACGACGTCCGTTTTCTCAAATTCAATTGTTATAGTACAATTTTATTAATTGGTCCCTTTATGTGCTTAGGTGCATTTGTTAGTGGCATTTTTGTCTTCTCTAGTTTGCACGGCTCTTCGACAACAGAGTAAAGTAAGTGGACCCCTTCCAAAATGCATGATTTTATTACTAGAAATACATACATGAAAAACATGATTTTTTTACTAAGTTTTATGAAATGTTTATGAAGAAATTGGATTTACACTTTATGAAATATCATGCTTTATCGGATTTACGTCCTTTGAAAGATTTATGATTATATACTTATGACCATGGTTTATGATGATGATTTTGCTCCTATAATTTATAATATGATGTTTGAGCTATTGAGCTCTGATGAGATATATTTTGGAAATATAATGTTTATGATTTTCTGTGCTTATATATGCATATGGGCAAATGATACATGGCTTCAATCAGGTGATGTAAGGCCTACGGGTGAATGGTACTTATATATGGCTTCGGTCGGATGATGTAGGGCATTCGAGCAAATGAAGATTTATATATGCCTACAGGCAGAAGATGAAGAGCCTTCGGGCGAATGAAGTTATATATATATATATGCCTTTGTGATACTACTACTAAGCACTATATATATGATATATGATATATGTTTTATGAAGGTTTTATGGCATGCTGGGGTTTTCAGAAAACCTATTACTTATTAAGTTATATGAGTTTTCTAAACTGGTTAATACGTTGAAGAATAACTATTTTAGTATTCCATATATATATATATATATATATAACTTGGTCCACTCATGTTTTGTTTTGCGCCCCCTCAAGACTTAGAATCGAGGCGTATAATCCTAGCATCAAGGCACTCTCGCATCAGTATCTTTGAGTCATCTCGGTGTAAGATCATTTCCTTTGTTCGTATATTTGTATAATATTCCTTCTTAAATGTTCTAGATTAGTTGTATACTCTGAACACGTTCCATAATTGCATTCTCATTATAGTTAAATTTACAAGTTTTATTTATGTTCGTTCTTTCTTCATAGTTCTCATGCATGTTAGTATGCCTTCGTCACCTTCGAATGTCGGTCAGCACATGCCTACCCTGATATTTGGTAGATATTGGGGTCGGGCATGTCATTTAGAGTATTGTACCAGTATACGGCCGTATGACGTAACTCACACGTGTATGATGATATTATTCAACTTGTCCATATTACGAACATGTCATTCTACTTACACAAGTATGATAATGATGATGATGATTGTATGAATATTGATTTATCGATTGTTATTTATGTTGAGATATGCATACACTTACACATATTTAGAGTATTGTACCAGTATATGGCCGTAAGACGCAACTCACACGTATATGATGATATTATTCAGCTTGTCCATATTACAAACATGTCATTCTACTTACACGAGTATGATAATACTATTGAACTTGTCCATACTACAGACATAACATTCAGCTTACATATGTATGATCCATAGCACGGACATGACATTCAACTTGCACATATATGATTCATATTTAGCTTGTCCGTACCACGAACATGACATTCAACTTACACATGCATGATTTATATTTAGCTTGACCATACTACAAATATGACATTCAGCTTATTGTTGTGTTCCTTTCAAGTGCAAATATAAGGATAGTATAATGGCACAAGTAAGGGTGTCAAACCACAGGGACTGATTAGAACTATACGAATTACTAGCTTTATGTGAACCCTCACTAACAATGAAAATGAAAACTGCATTTAGATTTTTGTTTTGGAATCTAAAGTAACTTACAATGCAATAAAAGATAAAGATGAATGATAGATTGATTCAGAAACGATGAGAACGGAACTAGGGATACTGATTTCACCATTACAAGCCAATTCCATGAAATTTAAGTCAAAACGCATTGAACTCTCCAATTTGCAACTAGGGTTCGTTTTACTTATTTATGATCATCTATTTGATGTGTGGTTGTGATCAAGTACTCCTAATCTGCAACCTAGTTGTGATGTTCAACTTAGATTACCAAATAAGAATCCATTAAGAACAATCAAAGAACCAAAGAAATCACATGGCAGGATGGATGCATAGCAGTTTCTTCATTCATTCACATTTCCACCAAGATTAAGCATAATGCGTACTATAACCTTGATCAAATAATTCATAAGCAGTCCTAATGGTGATCAAACATTAAGATTAACAAACAAATTATACTATAAAATCAGTGAATGAAACATGAAAACAGATTGATGAATTTGAATACTTTAACTTAAGAACATAGAATAGGCTTGCAAAGCTACATCAAATTCCCCAGCTATGAACTTAATTACACAACATGAATACATAATATATAAAT